GTATAATACACGTTATAACAAGTCTTGTCAAGTATAACTAAAATATGGAATGATATTTACCAATAAGAAAAGTGTTCGCTCAGCTCTAGAAAGTTGTTATGTTGAAATATTTTCACCTTACTAGTTTAGGACTAATAAACCCAACAAACTATTTGTTGTTTATCTAACAAATAAAGATAGCGAATTGCATTTACTATTTCTGCTAACAAATATAAAAATAGTTTTATTCATGCTATAAGGCTAATTAATCACAATCAAAATTGTCTAACTTTTTGAAAATGTTCAAAGCCTGATACAAAATTATGCTAGTTTGAATATTCTCTTTTATATAGTATTTAAATGAAAGTAATTATAACTATATAGTGCTTATTTAATATAATAAATGAGTGCCTTTGCAACATGGTAATCTCGTGATTATGTTTTTTTAACTATTGATATATTTGGGCCCTTATGTATAATTATTTTTAATTTGGGCCCTTATCTGTAATTATTTTCATATTTCAAGCCCTTATTTGTAAATTATCTATTTTAATTATATAAAATTCATAATGCAAGATGTGTTTATACTGAATTTCATAAATAGTCTATCTGATTGTCTTTTGTACCAATGACAAAACCAGATAACCGGATAGTCATTTTAATATTAATATTAATAGGTATCTGGTTTTAATTTTGGGTACCTAGTTGATGACTTGTGGGTAGAGATTTTCAATCTGGTTTAGAACCCTATTGTCATATTATACATCTAATGAATCAATATGAATAAAAACTGTATGGAAGCAGGTGATCCGGTAGTATGAAAATAAAGACAGGCTAGGAAGTAATAGTTGCACAACCTATATGGAAGTCTATGACAAAACACAGCAGAGGCATGGGTCCCAGGTTACTGAATTGTAATAGTAATTAAATGAGGTACTTAACTCCTGTTTTAAGGATCCAGACCCTGTATCACTATACTAATAGGGAGTACTATAGAAGAATCAGTAGCCTAATTTGGTGGTGTATGACACAAATACCTGGATTGATGTGAAATAACACCCTAGTACGGCAGCAGGTGGCTTGAGATACAAGTCTTATAACCTGGCAGCACCTGGCTTGAGATATGGATTAGGTCCTTAAAGTAGCTCCCCAGGGACACCAAACTAGAAGCACCAAGAGCACCCACTCGAAAGACACCAATTAGGAAGTGATACAAGAAATGAATTAGGAGTAATGTGATAAGTACTAAGGGGTGAAGTTGGCTGGTAGACATTGTACAGTAGTATATAGCTTTAGAACTACTAGAAAATGATCAAGAGTGGTTCCAATATTTTGAAGAAGCCACTATTCTATGTACTGGATCCCAATTAAGAGTCCTTTTTGTCATCATACTTACTCAATGTACACCTACTCATCCAGATAAATTATGGTTTCATTTCCATATTAATCTCTGTAATGATCTTCGATATCTTTTGTATAAAGAATATAATATCTATGAATCTACTGATAAGCAAATTTTTGACTTTGAACTCTTTCTTCTAGACAAAATTCTTTACCAATCTAATCAATCTCTTAATATATTTCTACCAATGCCTCTCGGACACAGAACTGGGAATATTATAATAAATCTCATATTATCATAGAACAATTAACATGAGGTTATTAAAAACTTCAGAATACTGTTAATGAACATATTTCACTATTAAATTCTGAACAAGCAGCTACTTACCACATCATAGGTGACTTAGTAATTAAACAAGATGGTCAACTATTCTTTCTCAACAGTCATGCTAGAACTGGCAAAATCTTTGTCTACAACACTATTGCAATGAAAATTAGATGTCTAAAAAAAATCATCCTTTGCGTAGCATCCTCGGGTATTGCAGCTCTCCTACTTGATCTCAGTCATACTGTTCACTCAAGATTCAAAATTCCAATAAATATAAATGAAAATTCATTATGTGAAATTAACAGAAATTCAGTAGAAGCTGAACTAATTTGTTGAACTTCACTTATTAATTGGGATAAATTACCAATGCAATATTGTTATTGTTCTAAAGCTGTAGATCAGACTTTACGAGACATTCACAATAATAATTGACTATTTGGCAAAATTACTGTAGTTTTTGGAGGAGATTTTTGCCAAGTTCTAGAGAGAAAATTATTGCTGCATCATTCACACGATCATATCTATAGCAACATATTAAAGTACTTTCACTAAAAAAAAATATGCATTTTAGTACATAGTTAGATAATAACTATCAATTCACACAATGGCTTTTAGAAGTAAATATTTTTCCCTATTGCATCATTACTTACTTTAAATATTAATTCATTTATGTTTTTGTAGGTTGGAAATGGCACAAATTCTATAAATAATAAAATATCACTTCTAGAGTTTATAAAAATACCATCTCAAAACTTAAACTCACTTGTTGATATCATATTCTCTAATATCTCAAAAATATGAATATATAACAATCAATATTTCAGTAAACAAATCATTCTTTCTTCACAAAATAAGGATGTTGTATATATTAATCAAGAAATCCTTAACATGTTTTCAGGAAACCAATGCACATACTTTAGTGCAGATGAAGCTGTAATTGAAGAAGGCGCTGATTGTAATACTATCTACTCTACTAAGTTTCTCAATATACTTGATCCCAATGGAATGCCACCTTCAAAACTTAATCTTAAAATAGGCTGCCCAATAATACTTCTTAGAAATATTGCATCTGGAGAAGGCCTCTGTAATAGTACCCGCTTAGTTATAACTCAACTAGCAGATTATATTATCAAGGCATGAATACTGTGTGGTAGTTATGCACTGTATCACCTTAACTCCTTCAACTTCTGAACTCCTATTTAACTTCAAAAGAAGATAATTTTCTATACATGTTGCTTTTGGAATGACTATCAACAAATCGCAAGGACAATCAGTAAAATATGTAGGCCTTAAGCTTCAAACACCTGTATTCACACATGGACAACTTTATGTAGCTCTTTCATGAAGTATCTCACCATGCTCAATTAAAGTTCTTTTTCTTCAAGAAAATATTAATACAACAACAACAAATATAGTATATCCTGAAGCTCTTATACCTATTAAATACAAACATAATCAAATTTAATCTTTCAAAATTTTTTGCTCTCTAAAAATACCTATATTATTATTTGATAGTTAAATGTCTTACCTCTATATACGATACGCAAATATCTTGATTATTAGAAATTTTTTATTAATAAAATTTTGCTTTGTACAAATTATTGTTATTTATCATTATAGTTATTACATATATACGTGATAAACACAATAAAAATAAAATCAAACTTACACTATCAAACCCTATTTATATAAAATCAAAACGAACTACATAACAATTATCAAACATCACAACTAAGATTATACACATACATATATACATATATACATAACATTACTCATTTAAATTTTTTAAATCTCACAAACTACCATGGCAAAGCTACAGGTTATTTGCTAGTATATATATATATTTGACGAAAGCTTCCAACATGTATTTTATCTGAAGGCAAACCAGAAATAATATAATTTTTAAAATTTTTAGTTCATTTATTATAAAAAGTTACCATTATAAAGGGTGTTGACCATTATATTACAGTAATTTCAGAAGTATATAAGGCTAACAAAACTTATAAAATTTGGTCTTAAAAGTGAAGTGTCTTTAACATTAATTGTTCTTTTTTAAAGATATGATTCAGCATAGATTATAATAAAAGTTTTCTTCATTTAATGAATAAGTTATATATAGTAGTATGTGTTTATTTGAGATTTATTATTATACTTTTAAAGCCAATATTTTTCTTATTGCGCATTTTATTAAGAACTTTGATGTTCTAGTCTTTAAAATTTTTAAAAATTATAGTTTATAAAAATTAAAAAGTAAAAAAATTCAAGTATTTTTTTTTTGAATTCAAAACAGTAGTATTAGAAGCTAAAGAACATGAAAAAAATTGAAGGGCAACGTGCTTTTTTGAAATAACAAGAACATGATTCAAGAGAAATAATGTTAAAAAAAGATGTTTTTGTTTTACTAAAATTTAAAATTTTATTATTGTTATCATTAGAATTTTTCAATTGGCGCAAACTATTATAACAGATTAACCCTAGGTGTTGCACAAAAGCAGTTCCTCAATTTTGATTGGCTAACGCCAAGGATTTTCAAAATATTGGCCTGAATTAAATAATTGTTTACTAATTTCTGGCCGGAGTTAACTTTTTAATTTTTTCATTATAAAAATATAAATTTTTTTAAAATATAAGCCTGAGTTATGGTCAAATTGGACAGGATAGGGATGGAAAATTACTGTAATTTTACGTTATTTTACGAAAATTTGTGTAATTTTCTGAAATCAAAATTACATGTAATTTTTATCATGTGAATAATTTTTGCAAAAATTTTTATAATGCTTGCATTAAAAATTACAATTCTGAACATAATAATGGATATCTATTATCGCTGGCCAAACTTTAAAATTATCATGTGACAATGTGCTATTTACATTACAATTTCGTAAGTTACAATGTAATTTACACGAAACATAACAAAGTAATTTATGTAATACATCCCAATTTTCACTTAATGGGTGGCTGCGATTTAATTAGTAAAATTATGAGTAATTCCGGCCTAATTTTTGATCGTCGCTCTTAGCCAATCAAAATCGAAGAATTGCGTTTCCGGTTTGGAGTGACATAGCTACTTAATTATATCAGATATCTGATATTATACTGCAGTTACGGTATTGCATTACAATATTGTGTTATTGCGGCATTACGGCATTACGGCATATAATTTTTACGGCAATTAGATGCTATGCCGTAATTAATTCTACCACTGGTAAAATGCCGTAATTCAGTAATTCTACCACCAACAATAGTCAAGCTCTAACCTGACACACCTGAAAATTAAATTCATCAAAAAACAGCTACTTAATATTATAAAAATCTTGCCACAAATATTTATGTGTATAATAATAATGCTTTATCCTGAACCAGGAGTTGCAATAATACTATTTTTATATTCAACCTTTTTTCGAATGAATATTATCAAAAATATACAGCCAACAATTAAAGCGATCCCAAAAATAGTACCAAATACTGAAATTAATATAATTGAAGTGGAAGTAAGTTTTATATTGTTCGCAGAAATGGGTTTTGTAGTATAGTTTAGCGGTATAAAATTTGTGATGACAAAATATCTATCTCTATTCGTTATATTTATAATATCAATAGTATTCAATCTGCTTTGTGTTAAATTTCTCCCTATTATAAATAAATATTAATAACTTGTATTTAATAATTATACATAAATTAAGTAAATTTAAAAAAGAAGAGTTAAATATTTTAAATAAAATACCAAAATTAATGAACAAGTGATTTCCAATTATATGTGCGGTATGATAAATCCTAAAAACATATGATTGATTAAATAGCTGAGGAGAAGACCACTCAAATATTCCATTAATATACTCTAGAACTGCAAATGTTGGAATGGATGAAGTATTAAGACCGTCATAACCACCATATATAAAAATTCGACCATCCGACGCTATTATTTAAAATTCATATTTTCATCAGAAATAAGATATTGGCATGTCATTCGCATAAGATAATGATTTGTTAGTCAAAATATTTGAATAAATGTACAGTATACTCATTTAGTAACATACGTACCTATGGATGCTGTGTGACCCTGTCTCGGTGATGGTATTCCACCAGATCTAGCTATTGCTGTCTGGAATTAACGATATATACATATATATACTTATAAGTATTAACTTATTTCTAATACCAAAATTGTAATCCATCGCTCATGTTCTGGCAAATTAGTACAAGAGTAAGATCTTAAAATCCCTATTATCGAATTATATTTACCTTCGTAGTCCATACTGAAGATTTTGTATCGTATAAAAGAATCTAAGAGAAAATTTTGAGAAAATATTTTTATATAAACCTAATCATATTTAATTTACTTAGAATTTATATAATCCTCGACATTTAATTATTATACTGTCAAGAAAATGATTATCAAGGAAATTAATCTATTTTAAAGGTGATTACTTACCTTATCCATAGGAACATTTATACCTGAACTGTTATACCCACCAATATATGCAATTTCACTAGTGTTTAGCCAAACAGCACCATGGTAATTTAAAACAGATGGTCCTGGAATACTACTTAAAACACTATTTACTGTATCATAAATGTAAATAGTTCTATTATCAAATATATAAATATTAGTTAAGTCACTATCTATAACACCAACAGTCTTTGTTGTGGAATTAGATGGCAATACAGTGCCATTTTTAACCGTGTTTGGTGTCAACCCACTCCATGCATTATTAGTAATATCATATTCGTAGATATGATTCCCTCCTGGACGTTCTCTATAACCACCAAATAAATAAATCATCCCAGTTCTTGAATATACAAGTGTATGTGCTGCAACTTTTATAGGAACGTTTGCAAGTACTGTATAGGGCATGTTGGTTGGATACATTGTAGAAAATGGAACGGTTAAATCTAAAAAGAAGAAATCATCTGTATAAGTGCCGTCTCCTGGTCCAGTGATACCGCCTCCAAAAAAAATTTTATTCTCTAATACTACAGTTGAGCCAAGGCAACAACGTATAATCGTTGGTTGTGCAGTTGTACATGTTAAAATGGTGTTAACAATTATTAATAAATTTATAATTAATGAACATAGACCCATTATTTTTATTATTTTTATTTTTTATTAAAAAGGATTGTTAAGAAAGGAAAAATACGGTACCGTAATTCGAAATTGTTTGGAATTCTATTATATCGAAATGTATTCAAGAAAATTTCCGTGAAACTGCAAATTATATATATGTATACGAATAATGCTTTTTTTAGCGGCAGAATCGATGATCTCGTGATGTGAGAACCGCAGCTAAAAAACTTCTGATTCAGCACGTCGGCCCGTAAGAATAAGAACCAAGCCAAGCCTTAAAAAGCCTCAAAATCGATAAAAGGTTAGAAAGAAATCGCGAAGGAATCGTGGCAAGAACGTTGTGAAAATTGCCCAGACAACAGTAAGGAAGAATGACATAAGGAGCAAGTCATGGAAAGCCTCTTTCAGTAGAACTAAGCAAAGCCGCAAAAGGCGATGACCTGATGTCCATTGCCGTGTGTGACAAAATCGTCGTAAGAGACGAATCGGGTAAATCGTGTGGCCGTTGTTGTGCGAATTTTTGTTAATAATTGTTGCATCATAATCGTGTGTGTGGGAATATACCGTGATTACATTTTATTGTAATCATAGATAATTGCTACATTTTGATTAATAATGTATTATAACTAGAGATGTGCCGTATGCATTATGCAGGCAATATTCCAAATCTGTTTCCACTATATAGATCTAATATTTTATATTTTCAAATTCAATAACCTCTCAGTAATAATACAAAGTCTGTTTACTACATATAGTTTTTGAAGGGGCCATAGTATATTATACAGAATTGCATAATGCATATGACATAATGCTGCATTATGTGATGCAAAGCCAAAAAAACTTGCATTCGCACATTTCTAATTATAACTAATCGGGTGTAGAATAATTAGGGCAGCTGCGCGACGCAGTCCCGCTAGAACCAGGAATGTTACACATATTTGTATATATGCAGTATATGAAGATATCATTTTCTATTATTAATAAAGTTATTTTTTCTGGAATTTAAAATTATCGTCTGTCAAGAGTGTCTTGTCATTTTTAACAATTATTGCTTTATTCATGTGAGAATGAGGTATGCATAGAGATGGGGGAAATGCGCATTAATGCGCACGTTATATAAAATGCGCATGATATAGCATAGCGGGCTTTCATTCCGATTGGCTAATTTTTGTAGATCATTCCGTGATTTTACAAGATATGATTGGCCAA